TCCCCATGCCCTGGCACAGATTGGCACAGTGTCCTGGCACCCTCAGGGCCAAGTCCTTCCCCATCTGCCCTTGAACTCTTGTCACAGAGTTTGCTTTTGAGGGTACCCAAACCAAGTTATTTGCGCTTCCTATTTTCACTCTCATGCCTCACAAATCCAGTCAGTCTCTGCCGCATAGGGAAAGTATTTTTAATAAACTATCACTATGACTACATCACTTCTTGCTTAAAACCTTTCAGTGATTGCAACCGCTCTTAGGATACAACCAAAATTTTAGTCTTAAGTTTTGTTTTGTTTTGCTTTGTTTTGTTTTGTTTCAAACCCAAAACCTCAAAAATGACAGCAAGCACTATATCACTAAACTACATGCCCAGCCTGTTTTAAATCTTTTATTTAAATGTTAAAGAGACGGTCTTGGTATGGGAATGGTGACACATGCCTGTAATCCTAGCACTCAGGAGGCTAAGGCAGAAGGATTGGTGTGGGTTCAAGGTCATGCTGGGTTATACAGTAAATTCAAGACCAGCCAGAACTACACAGTGAGAAAGAAAAAATTTTTCCAAACTGATCTTGAACTTGTGATCCTCCCACCTCAGTCTTCCAAATTTCTAGATTGTACCACCATCCCGGTCCCCAGCACTCAGATTTCTTGATGTCTGTTCTAGTGGCTGCTTTGTTACCTTACTTCTGTTGCAACATTACAGAGGCCTTGCCGTCACTCAGAACTATTGCACCTCAAAAATGTTAGATTCCAATATCCCATACTTGTTTGTGTTGTACAAACACTACTCTCTGCCTGCCAGTTCCTCAGTCTCTCCCTTCCTCCCATCTGACTCATAAAGGCTTTACACATTCCCTTCTCACCTAACCCTCAGCATGCTATATCACTTCCACTGTTCTCTTATCAGTGCTGTCTGCTCAGCTGGCTTCCTCTCCTTTAATATTACCTTGGAAACCATCAGCCCAGAATATTTTAACAATCTGCTTCTGCACCTACACTCAGCTGGAAGCAAAAATAATATACTGAAGTGCTCAAAATTTAAAATCTGCATGATGAAGTATATTCCCCTTCCCTGGAGGGTAGACCCATCAGTAAGTGGTCCCTAATCTCCAATTCTTAACCCACCCTATAATTTTATATGCTTCATTACTTTCATAGGAAATCTGAACCTTCATCATTCTCCAGCATCCTGTGTTTGTTCACTCTCAGATCAACTTGAGTCTGAAGTTGCAGAGAAATGAACCTTAACATTTGGACTCTGTACAAGGTCTATCTTCTGCACCTGTACTTCAAAGCCCAGCCCTGTGTCCCCAGAGACTGACCAGAATCCTTTCATAATCAAGATCCAGGCCAATGTTCTCCACCTCCCTATTTCCGCTTTTAGGTACATCCTGCCCACAGTGCTGGGAATGCTATTCAGACACAAATAGGATCTAAGGCTCAGTATTGTAGATCATAGTCAATAAGGTTGAAAGCAGCTTGTCAGTACAGGCTCCTGAATAAAGCTGAGTTTGTTTCCAATAGTTCTATCAAGGACTGTGTATTATTCCATTTTTATTACTCTACCAAAAGACCCACAGCTAGACAACCTAGGAAAAGCACTTATTAGCTGATTGTTCTGGAGGCTGATAATTCAAACATCTGAGTTCCAGCTGTGGTGAGGAAGTCCCTGGCTGCATTATCTCATGACAGCTGTCATCATGGTGGAAGCAAGGGGGAGAAGGAGCAATCACATGATGAGATAGCAAGTGACAGCATGGAGAGGACCCAGGCTTGCTCTTTTATAACAACCTAAACAACCCTCTCATGAGAACTAATCAGGGTCACACAAGCACCCTTATCCATTCCATCTCAGGGAAGCACCCCCAAAGACTTCACATGAAGCTGTCTTTCTTTAAGTTTCTACCATCTCTCATTTTGCCATCCTGGGAACCAAGCTTATACCATACGAACTCTTGGGGGGCACAGTCAAGCCATACTTACACCATGGCATCCTGCTAAGGACGGTAACTCAAAGCCACAAACCATGGCTGAAACTGAGAAGCCATGACCCAAAAATTCCTACAAATGGGAAAGTCCAGTTAAGAAAACAAAGCAAACAGACAGCAAAAAGGGACCGATAGGGGGTAAAAAGACATGGAACATGATGCAGGTTCAGAGCAAGGCCCATCCTCTTGATCACTGGCTAACTGGCTCCTTCAAGTCACCCTAATCTCATCAAACGTCACCTATAGAAAAGCCTCTGAGCTACCTTATCTAAAGTGACCACTTAGTCGCTCACCACATTTTCATGTGTTAATGTTCTGCATAGCACTGGAGTGCCAGCTGATGTTTTTCCTTTATATATTTATACACTAGTGTATCAGCCATCTCTTCCCACTAGAATGTAAACTCCATGAAAATATAGTTCTTCTCATTTACTCTGTATCCTCTGTAGCTAAAATGATGCTTCAAATTCAATATGCTGACTAAATAGTGGGTGAATGAATTAAAGCTCGTGAATGCTCCATCATTGTTAAAAGATAGGTAATTCTGGCTTTGGCCTACTGCTTCTTCCTACACTACTTAATCCTTTAAAAAAAAAAGAAAGAAAGAAAGAAAGAAAGAAAGAAAGAAAGAAAGAAAGAAAGAAAGAAAGAAAAGGAATTTCAGCCAAGTTCTTCTTCCTCGCTCTCATTCTAGACTTCCAAATTCTATAATTAATAAAATATATAAATAGCAAATATATTAGTGACTGTATTTAATTTTCCCCAAAGAAAAACAGGCACTGGGGCTAATAACACCATTAGGTAGTCCAAAATTGAATTCTTCTATAACTCCTCCAAATAATCTCGGTAATATTTTCTTCCAGTAAGTAATTAAACCAATGATATTAATGGTCAGGAAATACGCAGACTGTATTAAAGGAATTAACTTCTCTTCTGTGGCTTTAGGGATGTGGTTTCATTCAGTTCGCTTTTCATATTTCAAATTAAATCAGGTGATTTCAAGAAAAGAACTCATAGAAACAGAAACTGTTTTATGTTGTTCTGATACAACTACAGTATGAAATAGATTACCAATGCAGATGCAGATGACATAACTGAGGGACCTTTAAACATACAATTTCCAAAGTCCAGAACATAATCTCCTCAACATCCCCAGGCTCTTTGGTTCAGATATTGTGTTCCTTAATAACTGTAAATATTAAAGAGAATTACTCTAAATTATTTATCTTGCTTTTCCCAATCTCAAACACTCTCTGGTGTGCAATAGATACTCAATAAATGTTGCCTAAATCACACTGCTCAGATATTTGCTCCAGCCCCCTGGGCTTGCTGGTGTTCTGTTATAACTTGCACAATATTAGTATTAACTACCACTTATTTCATATTTTGTGTTAACCCTAAGACCTTACCTATGGTATCTCATTTAATCCACCCAAGAATACTTTAAAGATATATTGCTTTTCATATTTTTGTTGTCATTGTCAGACACTAACAAATGAGGAAACTGAAACATAAAAGGGACAGAGTGTGAATTTTATCTAGGGTTTGGCTTTCTAGCCTATATTGCCTGTGCAATCAGTAAGTATAACAAGTACTTTTAGTGCATATTATTTCTGCTTCAACTTCTTCATTAACTGATAATGGGATCTAGGACACCTTCTTAAATATCTCTAAGGATCTTAGTCTCTTTGCCTATAGAATGAGAATTTGGTGAAAACCTATTTTTTTGCCTTTCTGTGTCTCTTTTTGCTAATCTGCAAAATTAGTAGGCTTGGATCTCATAATACTTCTAATGGCTTCTGGATCTATGCATTAACTCAAAAGTTCTGAAAACCTGGTAAGAAACCCCTTTTAAAATGCAGTAGAATGATTGAAAAAGTAATACCCAGCCTGGAAAAGTCAGTTCTTAGGTTGAAGGTCACAGCTACAAATGGAAGCCTATTTCTAATGAAACTACCGTCTTAAAGTTTTACAATCTCAGTGTAACCCAGTAATGGTTCTGATGCCCAAGTCTTTAGCACTACAGCTACACAGGGGTTTTGATGTACCTTCTCCACTGCTAGTGAAAAGATGAAGAGAAAAGAAAGCAGAAAAGAAATCAGGACACCCATATCAGCACAGAGGGAAATTCAGAAAAATTTCAGAGATGGATTAGAGAGGGGAAAAGAGGAGATATAGCACTGAGTCAGTAATGGTTCTAATTGCATAACCCTGAATTTTAGTGTTTTTTATAAGATCGTCTTCTAAGATGTGGTAACTAACTGTGTGTTTTTTCCACTCTTCTCAACAATTGCACAAATGCAGATGATTCTGCCTGCCAGTCTTCATCTTTCCAATAATATGACTCTTTGGCCTGTCTTCATACAACTCTCTCTCTCTTTCTCTCTCTCTCTCTCTCTCTATCGCTGTCTCTCTCTCTCTCTCTCTCTCTCTCTCTCTCTCTCTCTCTCTCTCTCTCTCTCTCTCTGTCTCTCTCTCTCTCTGTTTTTTTCTATACTGGCCTTTATCACACTAGATAGTCCAGGCTCATAGTGGCAATCCTCCTGCCTCAGCCTCCTGAGTTCTGGGATTACAGAAGTGCCACCATGCCTGGCTCAAACATTTCATTTTAATGTGAAACTCAGTAACTCAGTGTTCAAATTTTCTCTAACCATTTTCTTCCCAGAAGATTAGTTAGCTCTCCAGTTTTTCTCCATGCCAGGTATTTACCACCTTCCTATGTACCCAACATCCTCCATCAATATGCTAATAAAAACCCTAGAATTGAGATACACTGGATGCCTGGTTGAGTGACTGACTATGAGAAAGTAATTGTTAATCAGTGTTTTAATATCTGAAATTAGCTTGTTGACATTAAATAGAAATTACTTTGTTTATGAAATTTCTATATTCCCCTTTAAAATGAAATTATTTGAAGAAGTAATACTCTCTCTGCTTCCACCTTACAGTAGTACACTCCCCAAAATAAGGAAGAACAAGAAAACTCACGGAGTATTTAAATTTAAAACTGAGACGTTGCATCAGCAAGAAGGCAGGTAAAATGAAGACAAAATGTCACTGATTTTTGCTTCCATCTCTAGAAAGAAGATTGGTGATTGACTTTGGCATGTTCGAGACCATCAGGCTTGAAGACATCACTTGGAGGTAAGATTCCCTGGACCAGCAGATTTCTCCAGTGCTATCTCCTGAATAGACCCTCCCTGTGACCCTTCCCCACAAAGTAGCTCTACATACTTTTATGGAGGAGCATCTTCCTGAAAGTCACTTGTGCCACCTGGTATCATTACAACAAAGCTCTTTTGAGAGGTTAGCAGAGGAGATGAATATGTAGATTTTTCAGAAATCCCAGGAATACTTCAGCACCTTGAGGAATAAAGAATTGTGGCCTGCAGGATTAAAAGGACAAGATAAAAATCTGATTGAAAAAGTAAATTAGGGCCAAGGATTTAGCGCAGTGGCCTAAGCGCCTGTCTGGCAAGTGTGAGGTTGTGAGTTTGATCCCTGGTACTAAAAAAATAAATAAATAAAATTAATTAATTTTAAAAGGGCAGTGTGAGGGGGGCTGGGGATTTAGCTCAGCAGCATAAGCGCCTGCCTTGCAAGCAGGCAGTCGTGAGTTCGATCCCCGGTACTGATAAAAAGGAAAAAGACCAAAAAAAAAAAGGGCAATGTGAGGCTCTTACCACTCTTAATTTAACAAATTGAACAATAGTAGGTTAAAACAATTACTGAGTACTTACCATATGCCATGAAGGGAACTAAGTAATTTAAATGTGCTTTCTCAGTCTTCATAAAAATTCACATAGGCCAAGGAGAAAAAGACTAAAAGAGTTAAGAGTCTAAGCTCACAGAGCTTGTAAGGTTGGATGCAAACTGAGGACTGTGGCATGACTAAGCCTGAGCTCTGCTCCATTAGTTTATACTCGCATACTGTAAAACCTTCTGAAAAGAGCGTTTAGAATGAAGACTTCTTATTACATGGACTAAATCAAAGGTCCCAGGGAATGTGATGTGGTTTTCAGAACCACTACCAGCACAGATCAGCAAAGCTTCACTTTGATTTTGCTCACACCCTACAATATTTTTGGATACCTTTGTGGAGCTTGGTCATGTAATTTGTTTTAAAAGCCCCTAAAATTCAGTTTCCAATATGCACATATACAAAGGAATCCCCATATATACACAATGCACAGGTACACAAACACCACAGACAGCATTCCAAATGCTGGCAGGCAGTCACATACAAACCACACATACCACACATACACACACCACATAGATACATTATAGATACACAGACTACATTCGCACAAATATGCACACACACAGAGAAAGGTTCAAATATATACTCCATGGATAAAAACACATACCACAGAGAGCATATTCCTGACTGTATACACACAAGTACACCACAGATACAGAGAAGCCAGACATAACCTACACACAAACACACACAGAGTATTGGAAAATACTCCAAGAGATTTTATTTCTTCTTGTTTACTCAAACCCTAGTACGGTCTAGTTTCTACCGTACACATCACATCATTCACATCTCACCTTCTGCTACTCTTCTCTCTCTGTCTCACTCCAGAACAATTAGTTAACACAACTTCTTTGATTCCCCAGAATAATCACCTACATAAGAGTTGTAGGTTAATCGGAAGAAAGGACATTACCTTACATCAAAACACAGCACGTGGATTAAAATGGAGTATTAGACACCAAGTTTTACACCCTGTGTCATTTCTACTTCTCCCTTTCTCCTATTTAGGCCTTCTGACTTTCTGCTGAGTTTTTCCTGCCCATCCTGTCTCACGACCATCCTCAACTCCCTTCCCAAGGTCTCAGGGGCTCTACACAGCCTCTTTTAAGAATTTACACTCTTGCCAGGTATGATGGTACATTCCTGTCATTCCAGCACTTAGGAGGCAGAGGCAGGAAAGTGGCCATGAGTTCAAAGCTAGCCAGGGTTACACAAGGAAGTTCAAGTCCAGTATGTTCTACCTAGTGAGGCCCTGTTTAAAAAAAAAAAGGCTTTGCACTCTTCTACTTGGCACTGTCTATTTCAAACTCTAAGGACTTCACTTTTTATTCCCAAAGCAAACTGTTAAGATATTTTCTGATGAGGGAACCACTTTTCTACTTTAAAGAAAAACTTTGCAACTCTTTTAGAAGGTAAAATTAACACAAGACAGTTGGGGTTTTTTGATAGCAATTAATTTTCTTTTCTCTTTATATTCCTAGAATGATTTTGCTTAGTGAGGAAACTACATCAATAGTAATTTCTATTGCTTTATTCTATTTATCAAAAACCAATTTGTTGATATGATTCTGTTGTAATAGCTATTTTCCAAAATCTGTTCTCAGGTTTGTATTTTCAGTACTATCAAAACCGTTATCCAAAAAATTGGATATTTTAGATACTTTGATATTTACAGGCCCTGATTCATGGGTCATTATCAAAAGTACTCCATATGAATTACCAGTTTTCAAAGAAGCTATCTAAAATAGTGGTAGGGTTCATCTTCATAACAGAAAATGTGTGGTAGAGATGTTGGTGGATACAAGAAATGTAACACTTTTTTTAAATTTTTATTTTATTAGTGTATGTTGGCAATACATTATATTTATATACCCCTTAAGGAGTAAGTACATGTACTTAACATACCATGATTCTTTTTTATTCTCCTTTCCCTCCCCTCCCTCATTTCCCTCTGTCTCTAGATTCCATTTCCATATTATTATGTTTTAATCCATGTCTTTGACATAAAATGTCTGCATTCTTTGGGAATATGTGGTGCATATATACACACCACATCTTAAATCTTTTTATGTCTCCTTCTCCTCCTCCCCTCCATTTACCTTTGCTCTCTCAAAACTATTTCAGTTTTCAAAATTTCTATCCCTCTGTTTCCTTTCATCAATATATTATTTTGCTCCTTATTTATATTTTGCATTACTCAGTGAAAGGAACCACGTGGTATTTAAGTTCATATATCTGAGTTTTCACTTAACATTGTGCTTACCATGTATATTTATTGTCCTATAAGTGTCTCACATTTATGCTTCTTTTAGACAGACTTTATTCCATTATGTATAGATACCACATTTGCTTTATCCATTTGTCTGTTGGACACACATTGTTTCCAGGATTTAACTGCTATGAATTATGCTACTATAAACATCAGTATGTATATATCGTTATAATGTGGTGCCTTTAGGTATTTGGGGAAGATGCGTAGAAGGGAAATAGAAATGGAATTTCTATTTTTTATTTCTTTGAGGAATCTCCAGGCTGATTTTCATAGTGATTGTACAGTGGCACTTTTGCTCACAAACTTTATTTGTTCTATGATTGTGGAAATGACCCCATTTGTGTTTGTATGGGAGAGATGGCCGTGTTCATGTTTGCACCTGATCCAGAGTTTGCAAAAAAAAAAAAATTGCCAAGCAACTGTGTTTGCAAACCAAGTTGTTTGAAAACAAAAGCATTTATGAACTGAGGTACCCCTGTGCTAACTTACATTCTCACCAACAATGGAGAAAGGTTCCTCTTTCATCACAACCATAACAGTATTTGTTGATGATAGCTGTTCTTTCCGTTGTGAGATAAAACCTTAGTGTTGTTTTGTTTTGCATTTCTCTATGGTTAGAGACATTGAGCATTCTTTTTTATATGCTCTTTGGCCATTTGTACCTCTTCTTCTGAGAAGTGTCTATTTATTTCATTTGCCCATTTTCTCATTGGGTCTTTTATTTTGGGTGGTTTGACTTTTTACATTCTCTACGTGTTCTAGATATTAGTCATCTGTCTGAGGATTAGCTGGCAAAACTTTTTCCTGTCCTATAGGTTGTCCCTTCACCCTACAGATTGTTTGCTTTGCTGTGAAGATTTTAATTTGATATAATTCCATTCATCGACTTTCTTGAGTAATTGGAGTTCTGTTCATAAGCTACTTTCCTACAACTATGATTTCAAGAGTTTTACCTATTTTATCTTCCAGTAGATTGCTTCTATTTTAATGTTAAGATCTTTGAATCATCTTTATTTTAATTTAGTACATGGAAAGATAATTGATCCAGCTTCAGTCTTCTACATATTGATAGCCAGTTCTCCCAGCACCAAGAAAGTTAACACCTTTAAGCCTCACAATTTCCTCTGCTTAAAGATTTGCCTGCTGAACCTTGCGGAAAAAGAAGGAATGACTTTTATAGAAAGTTCCTGGCATATAACAAGTATCAAACAAATGTGAATTCCTTGACTTCTAGATCCTTCTCCACCCCTCCTCGAGTGAAAAAGAACTGCATTCTCCAGCACACTTTCCCCTTTGTTGATGATTTTGAAGGTGCTTAGTGACGTAGGGCTTCAATATCAAGACTTATCAAATGCTAAGTATTAGAATTCTAAATAATAGTATTTACTATTTATACATAGCTTATGAGAGAAATCTAAATATAGCCTCCTTTGATTACTATTCTACAACAGTTACTGTTATTTTTGTTGCTTAAATTTATTTCATTAGCAACATCTGTCCTCTTCAAGTTTGCTTAGTCAAGTAAAACTGATTCTAAATTGTCTTATTCAAGTTTTTTGTGACCATTAAAAATAGCTACACTTCTGGTTAATTCCTAAAAGAAGATTTTTACCCATCTAAATTACTGAACAATTGCCAAAATGTCCCAACCTTTATTTGTCTTTTATATTTTTTATCTATAATATTTCTATTTTTCATGCTCAGATTAATCTGATCTTAATGCCTCATACAGCATAAAAGTACAGGACTTAGACAAGTATTTGAATTATTTTTAAATTTTATTTTAAAGAGAAATATACGGGGCCAGGGATTTAACTCAGGGACATAACACCTGTTTGGAAAGCTCGAGGTTGTGAATTTGATCCCTGGTACCAAAAAAAAAAAAAAAAAAAAAGAGAGAGAGAGAGAGAGAGAGAGAGAGAGAAACACAGAAAAAGCAATCAAACAAACAAAAAAGGCCAAACAATGACCAAAACAAATAGTAATATAGGTTTTCAAAACAAGATGATAGGAATTCAACAATGGTTGTAATATTGCATATTGTTATCTTCAAAATAAGTTGCTCAGGTTACCAGATACAGGCATGTAAAATTGATCAAACAATATGATTTCTCCTTTGAGCAGTTTCTTTCCCTTTCACTATACCTATTGTAACTTTTGGGTCTTATTTACTCTTTCTGTTTCTTACACTTGTGAGACAATACAGTTTTCACTCACGCCAGTCTGATTTATTTCAGTTATGAGTATGGTTTCTAGTTGCATCCATTTACCTATAAAAGTCTCTAGTTTACCCTATTTATATGTAATAGTATAATAGTATAATAGTATATATAATAGTATAATAGTATAATAGTACCCTATTTATATGTAAATAGTATAATGTTATTTTAAAATGCCACACCTTTTTATCCATTCTGTGATCGCTGGGCATTTGGGCATTTGGGTTGTTTCCAAGATCTGGCTATTACAAATTGTGCAGCTATAAATATGGGTGCACACATATAGCTGTGGTATGATGATGTTTTCAAATATCAGAAGGGGAATTGCTGAATCAAATGGAACCTCTAATTCTAATTTCTTAAGGAATCTCCACACTGAGTTCCACCAGTCTACACTCGCACCAACAGTGTAGAAGTGTTCCTTTTTCCTCACATCGCAGTATTTGAATTATCATAGAAATATTGTTTGTCACTCTTAAAAATGTTGTCATTTGGACTACTGCTAAAAAAAAAACCCTTTTAATATCTTTGTTTAAACTTGTAATTATAGTTGTAATTTTCACTTTTTCTCTCCTTAGGTAATTATGGATCTGATCAACTCCACCAATCATCCAATCAATACCTCTACTTTAGTAAACAATAGCACTCACTTTCCATTACCTGCCTCAAAAATCATCATTGCCCTTCCTTTGTTCATATCATCTATAATCGGTACCGTCACCAATGGGCTCTACCTATGGGTGCTAAAGTTCAAAATGAAAAAGACTGTTAACACCCTCTTATTCTTCCACCTCATTCTTTCATATTTTATTCCAACATTGATCCTGCCATTTTTAGCCACCTCCCTTCTCCAGGACAATCACTGGAACTTTGGAACTGCCTTGTGCAAAGTCTTCAACAGCACTTTGTCTGTGACCATGTTTGCCTCAGTTTTCTTCCTCTCTGCCATCAGTCTGGATCGTTATCTCCTCACTCTTCACCCGGCATGGTCCCAGCAGCACCGAACCCCACGCTGGGCTTCCAGCATTGTCCTGGGAATCTGGATCTCTGCCACTGCCCTCGGTATACCCTATCTGGTTTTCAGGGAGACACATCACAACCGCAAAGGAATTGTGACCTGCCGAAATAACTATGCTGTGTCTAGCAACTGGAACAGCAGAGAGATACAAACATTAAGGCAACAGATTCATGTGGCCTGTTTCATCAGCCGTTTCTTGCTAGGTTTCTTTCTGCCTTTATTCATCATCATCTTTTGTTACAGAAGGGTAGCCAGCAAGATGAAAGAGAGGGGCCTGTTTAAATCCAGGAAGCCCTTCAAAGTTATGACAACTGCCATTGTCTCTTTCTTTGTGTGTTGGATGCCTTACCATGTATACCAGGGCTTACTTCTCACTAAGAACCAGTCACAACTTTTAGAGTTGAGTCTGATAATTACAGTGGTGACAACATCTTTCAATAATATCTTTTCTCCTATACTCTATCTATTTACTGGGGAGAATTTCAAAAAGGTTTTCAAGAAATCTATTATCACTCTGTTTAAGTCAACATTTAGTGATGAGTTTTCTGCAGAAAGGACTTAAAACCTAAATTCAGAAGATTAAATTTAAATTCTGGACCCTTAAATAAGTGTGGACTCTATTAATTATATCACTAGAGATATATCCTCTACTTTTGTATACTATACTCCCTACATTAAAGAGACATCTAAATTGTACTATAGTTAGATCTATAAATATTGCCTTAGTTACTTTTCTTATTTCTGAAACAAAATACCTGACACCTGGGGGCTGGGAATTTAGCTCAGTAGCATAAGCACCTGCCTTGTAAGCACGCAGTCATGAGTTCAATTCCCAGTACCGATGAGAAAAAAAACTGACACCCAAAATTAACAGAGAAAAGATTTGTGTTACTCACATTTTATAGAGATTTATGCTCATAGTCAGCGAGGTCCAAGGCAGGGTGGCATGGCAGAGAGACATCACAGAGGAGAAACAACTCATGACAGGCAGAAGACAGCAAAAACAAATGACAATAGCAACTTTTTCTCTCTCTTATATTCTACCTAAGCTACCCACCTCAGGGTGAGTGCCAAACCAATCAGCAGACTAATTTAATAATCACATACCCTTAAGCCTAGCGTTGCACCATCAATCAACCACACACTCTAGAACCAGCCACCTCTGAAAAAGCCCCATCTCTGACTGCATGAAGCTTTGGAGATACACCAAAACAAGCCATAACAAATATAAAAGGGGCTCTAAGGAAACAAGCAACAGATCATATTGTAAATGTAATTTGTTTTAAGCTTTTTAAACTGTAGTACAATATATATAACATAAAATTAGCCATTTTAAGGAAACTACATTGATACTAATTATGTTTGTTTTGTTGTGAAACAAACCATCACCATTATCTAGTTTTAAAATTTTTTCATCAATTCAAAAAGAAACTCTCAACTCACTAAATAATCACTCTCCATTCCTCCATCCCCATTTCCTAGCAAGCTCTAATCTGCTTTCTGTTTCCATTATTTGCATATTTGAGATACTCTATATAAGTGAAATCATAGAATAAATAAAGACATATAATATTAGTCTTCTGTGGTCTGATTTATTTCACTAGCATGATGTTTTCAAGGCTCCTCTATGTTATACATGTATCAGAATTTCATTTCTTTTTATGTCTAAATTATATTCCATGGTTATATATGGCATTTTTGAAATCCATTTATCTATTGATGGATACACGGATCATTTTCACCTTCTGACTATTGTGAATAATGTTACTTTGATCATTTGTGTGAAAGTATCTGAGTTCTCTTTTCAATTATTTTATATCAGAGTGGAATTACTGGGTTAAATCATAATACTCTGTTTCATTTTATGAGGAAACATGTTACTTTCCCACTAACAATATAAAAAAGTTTTAGTTTCCCTATTTTTTTAACAACACTTGCTATTTTCCTTTTTAAAATAACTATTATAACTTAGGGCACTAGGAAACAAAGCAACCTGCTTGCCTGGTAATCAGCCATGAGCCTACTGATAAGCAGCCATGAGCCTACTGGCACACAGGCTGAGAATCAAACATCCCATTCCCCCCACCATTAACAAATGAGAGCCAGAGGTCTGTTCATTTCTTGGGAGGCTGACCATATGCAATATAGCAAATATGGGGGATTTCTTTCTACCATCTCTTTGAAGGCAAATATTATCACTATTTTGCTTTGTTCTGATTAATTGTCTTGTTCTATTCAATATTCTGTTTTGATAAGTCCTATAATGTTCTGTATTTGGTTTGATTTTGCTATCCTTGATTGAAAGGACAACTATTGTGAAGATAACAAGATATACTATGGTACTATTACTGCTATCCCAGTATCCTGCTGTGATGTTCTGTAGCAATTTCACTGCATTGACTCATATGGCTTTGTTCTGTCTTGTTCTGTTGTATTTTACTACCTTCAAAGCATAAAAGGTTTTAAAAAATAATTATCATAAAGGTTTAAGGGTGCTGAGTGGAATAGGGAAAAAGAGTTAAAACATATTATTTACAGGATGAATTCCCTATGATAAATGTAACCATTACAAACAGCAAGTATGTACTGATAAAGAAATAAAATTATTGTCATCCTCATATATTGAAATAGTGCCCTTGAGATTCTTAACTTTTAGTTTTTTAAGTTAGGAATATTGATTTCTAAATGGCAATAGCATCTAAGTATTTAAATTGTCTGTCACAGAATCTTCTAGAAAATCGAGTGTAAAGGTATTTATACTTTAATGTTTTAAGTATAGAGATAGCCTAAGTGCCTTTTTAGATAATTCTAGATTAAGCTATCTCTAAAATATGAGACTAAAACAATTAAAATATAAGAATCTTCTTGTTGTGATATGTTTACTTTTATAACAGCAATAACAATATTAATTTATCTTCCCTAGTTTTCAAGTTTTGCTTCAAGTTTTTGCAATACATTAATGCACTAAATTATATGAGACCACATAATATTATAGGCCTGAGGGCCAGGCATAGTGGTTCATGTTTGTAATCCCAGCACTTGAGAGGCAGAGGCAGAAGGATTGCTGCAAATTTGAGGTCAGCCTTGGCTACAAAGTGAACTCAAGGCCAACCTAAACTACATAGTGAAATTCTGTCTTAAAAAGACAAAAAAAAAATTATACACACACACACACACACACACACACACTCACACACACACACACACACACACACACACACACACAGGCCTGTTTGTTTAGTTATTGTATTACTCAACTTTGGATCCCTGTGGCTAAATACCTTAGATAAATCAATCTCCAATGAAGAAACCAAAATAACAACAATAAAAAAAGAGTCCCAGAAAGGACAGAAATTTAATTTTATGGTTAACTTCTTACAGAGAGAAAGTAACAATAGTTTGATACCTTGAAATTCCTACTAGCTGGCATGGTGCCAAGGCTTCCTAGGGCAACAAAGGACTGGATTTTTCATTCTTGAAATATGACCCCTTAAAAATTTGGATAGGTCAAAACCTTCACTGTTACCCTTTATTTGAAGTTTTAAAGCCTAAACAGTTTTCCCAGAGGGGGGTTGGGATTGATGCCCAAGCTGTGGCTCTGAGTGACCCTGCAGTAAGAAGAGCTTGGTATGCTTCCCACCCCACTATCTCCAAGTCCTGGCAAACCTGTGGAAATTTTATGGTGCAGGACTAAAGAACAAAGTTATTGGATGGAATTCAGGGTCCTTTATAACAAAAACTGCGCTTTGGAAATGATGACTGAGTGCCTTTAGTCATCCTCTTCAGACCTGCTACAATAAAACAAAACAAAACAAAACAAAAACCATGCACTGGAATGTATAGTTTACTCCTCCAGGACAGCAAGAAGAGTATTTCTTTTCTATAATATTATATACAATTGATATTCAATAAAAGATAATTAATGAAAGTTGAATACAGAAAATCACAATACATACAACTAACTACAAAGTATAACATCATGTACAATACACTGTATAAATATATTATTAAAACTTTGTTTTAAAAAGAAGTTAATTTATGTTAAAGAAAATAGGGCATAAATTTAAGAAAATTCCCCTGAGATATATTTTTAACTTCTCATAAAATTCTGGTAAACTTTTAGAAAACATACCTGTTGAGTTCATCAGCCTCCTCACTATTTTATACTAGCAGGGCCCAAGAGATTTATAAACAAAGAATTGATGGTTTTGCTTTGTGGAACTAGTGCATGGAAACAGTGTTTCAATATTATGTTTCTAATATTACCCAATTATATAAATCTACTTTGTTTTATTAGCATCAAACTGGTTCAAGAATAGAAAAGAGGGGTGATGAGAGATGAGTTTTAAAGACTAACCTAAGTCCTTTCCTCAAGAAACAACTCTTTGTTTTAATGAGATGAGTAAGCATCCCAACTACGGACATATGGACAAAAGGTTAGTGTAAGTAAGATGGTGTACACTATGTAAAACCAGTTACTTATTCCTGAGGAATTAAGGTCCACAATCATATAGTACTACAGTGTATGTGCCTGGCACTACTGGGGCTAGAAGAGTGAATAAGTCACAATCCCTTCCCTAAGGAGTTTAAGGCTAGTGTAGCTATTTTGAATTTGGCCCTACTTTATAATCATCTGAAATAGATTTTTAAAATTCCAGTATCCAGGCCTTACCCAAATCAATTAGGACCAAAATTTCTATGGCAAGACACAGAAATCAGTATTTTTTAAAAATTCTAGATTAACTCCAAAGTACAGTCAGAAGAAAAGCCCTTGTTCAATAGACATTAAAAAGTAGTAAAAAGGTAATTATAACACAAAGTAGTTAACTACGTTGGGGGTCCTAAGGGAATAAATATCCCTCAGTCCAGCCTTTGCCACTCAAAAAGCTTTCCTAGGTAAGGCACCATCTGGTGGAGTCTTGCAGAATAGTAGTTGCTATATGAAGGAGGCTAGTTTAACAAGGGAAGCAAACTGTGTAAAACCCAGGGAAGAAAAGAGGACAGTGCTACAAAGCAGCAGTAATGAAATTTCACTATGCAAACGAACCTTCTAATGATCTTGTTAAAATGCTGGTTCCGATTCAGTAAGTCTGGAGTAGGTCTAAGATTCTGCATTTTTAGTAGAATCTCAAGGAATTTCATTGTTCTTGGTCAAGCTAAGCAAAAAAGATAATTGCAACATATGTATGTGAAACAGGCTGGTGACAATGAAATAGAAAAGTCAGCCAAGACTAGATCCTGAGAATCTGTGCGAAGGATTTTGGATGTGAGCATCAACTTTATCCTGAGGGTATCAGTCACTGAAGCATCTTAAGCCAAACAGTAATAGAATCAGATCTGCATTTTAGAAATATCTCTCTGGCTGCTATCATAGACAGAGCCTATAACTGGAGGTAAAGCCAGCTGCGGTGGTATCTGCCTGTAATCCAGCACCCTGGGAGGCTGAGGCAGGAAGATCCAAAGTTTGAGCCCAGCCCAGACAACTTAACAAAATCCTCTCTCCAAATAATATTAAATAAATAAATAGAACTGGGGCTGTACCTCAGTGTGAGAAAAAAAAAAAAATAGAAGGAAGGAATGGAGGAAGAGAGGAAGGAAGGAAAGAAGGAAAAAGAAAGAAGGGAGAAAAGAAAGAATTAGAATTTGGCCCTATTTTATAATCACCTGAAATAGGGGAAGGAAAAGAAGGAGAAAGAAGAGGGGAGGGGAGAAATACTGGCCTGTCGATGTCGCTCCTGGCCGGCAGGAAGGACACACGACAAAGTCTGGCAGTGGACAACCTTTTCTTTTATTTTCCTTCTCCGTACAGCCTGCCCTGGGATCGCTCCCAGCCGAAGCCTCCTCTGGTCCGCTCCCCGCGACTCCTTCTGGGCTTTTACTTCCGGGCTTTTTCTTCCCCCCCAGGGGTGGCACCAGTATATATACGGATACAGTGTCCAATCATGTTAAAGTAAGCAAGGCAAGCTGATTGGCTAACATCATCAGTTGCCAGGCAGACTATATTGTTGAGCGGGTTGCTTACGCGGTAAGCAGGAAACTAACGTGCTCGATGGGAGGGGTAATCTACCTCAGGCTTTACTCTTTACTACAGGCCTCACGTCCGCCAAGTGAGGCAACCGGGCTCGGGGCTGCGGCTCCCAACATCTCCCCCTTTTTTATTTTTTATGAATGTGCGCATCGTAGCCCTTTCTGGACTGGGTGCAGAGGCTTATGCCCTATGCGTAGGCCCACCGTAGGTCCTTGGCTTAGACCCTGGTCGGCCGTCCCATGGTCTGCCAAGGCCCTGAGGCCCTCGTCCTTTTTCTAGGGCCAGGCACAAACTGGACGGAACCTGGATGCACACAAGCTTGCACTCATTTCCTCTCCGTAAAGAAATCCCCTCGGAGAGAAATTTAGACCTGGGCAGCATCTAACAGTCCAGCGGCATACGTGCAGGATGGGGTAGGGCCTGGCTTAGGTTGAGTCGCACCGGGGGAGTACGCTCTTACCCGTCATTGACTCTCCTACCCAGCTATGTCATAATTTTTTAGAGGAGGAGTGTGGGAAGCTCACCACCTCTAGACTCGGTCGTAGGCTAGGCGAGCGAGCCATGCATATGCCTGAGGATCTTCTTGTCCATTTTGGGCTACCGCTATTTCTATTCATCTTGTTGGTTGGTCTGTGATGGATCTCCGGTAGGGCAGGTCTGATCTTCAGTCGAGGGCTTTGTCGCCCATGTCAGTCTCTCCGGTACCCACAGTGGTTCTCGTCCCGATTCCTGTGGGAAAACACAAACCGCGCCTCGGTTCCAGCTGACCACTGGATCCGGGCCCATCCATTGTCCTGTCAGGACATCTTTCCACTTCACCCACCCTTTATGGTTGGGGGAAGGGTTGCAGTGCTCCACGGCTGGGGAGCAATTATCATTATTTAAATTTAAAAAATTGTGTGTGAATAGTGCCATGGATAATCGTGCCTTTGGGGCCAGGCCTTGGCCTACTCCCCCTTTTTGTTTTTGTAAAATTTTTTTGAGGCTTTTATGAGCCCTCTCAATGATTTTTTGACCTTGGGGATTGTATGGGATACCATGTTTTAATTGAACCTCTATCATTTTGTAGAACTCATTGAAGGCTTTGCCTATATAGGCTGGTCCATTATCAGTTTTTAATATTTTTGGTTTGCCCCATGCGGCCCAAGCCGCCAGGCAATGATTGATCACATTAGACACTTTTTTATCTGTTTTTGCTGTTGTGAATATGACGTGAGAACAGGTGTCTGTGGAAACATGAACATATTTAAGAGTCTCAAACTCCTGTATATGTGTGATGTCCATCTGCCAAACATCACCAGGGATCAAACCTCGAGGGTTTACTCCCATCGGTATGGCAGGTTTGTATGTGGCACAGGAGTCACATAGTCGCACGATATCTCGTGCATCTGCTCTGGAAACATGGAAATGGTTTGTTAGTGTTTTGGCATTGACATGAAACTTATCATGGAAGGCACGGGCTCGCTCGATTGGTGTTAGTAAGGTAAAAATCCATAACGGGCGAGTGGCAGTATCAGCAGCCGCATTCCCCTGTGCCATAGGCCCTGGCAGGGATGTATGTGCTCTTATGTGGGTGGTGAAGACCTTATGGTGTCTGTTCTGAAGCAATGTCTGGATAGACAGGAACAGCCCAGCCACTGTGGAAGTGGATCTAATTAAACTGGCAGTCTCAAGCACTTGCATAGCAT